CATCCATCATCCTCCATCCATCCATCCATCCACCATCCATCCATCCATCCATCCATCCATCCATCCATGCCACTCCATCCATCCATCATCCATCCTTATCCATCCATCCATCCATCCACTTCCATCCAATTCCATCCATCATCCATCCAATCCATTCCATCCAATCATCCATTCCTCCATACATCTATCCATCCATTCATTTATTTATTTATTTTGTTCATTCGTTCATGCATGCCATCAATCTATTTTTCTACCTTTAAGAAACATGTGGATATGATTAAAAATGTCATAACGTGGTGGTATCCAGGCACCCCTGTAGCTATAATTAAACTGTAAGCAATTATATTATTACTAGAGATCTGCGAAACCACTATCCCAAAACCTCTAAATTAAATTTAAATAAAAGTTTGCTTTTTCTCAGGTAATAACCCTTACTACGATAGTAAGTTTTGTCACAATTCTGTATTCCACGAGTCTGTGTATTATTATATAATAATATATTATATTCACAGCTCTTTGACGCGAACACTAGTGGTACGTTAAAAACAGTGATCCAATCGTGGCGCATTTAAAGGCATGTGGAATACTGACGTCTCAGCATGGAAGTATAGCGTACTAGCGAAGGTTAAATAATCGAAAAAATAAAAAATAAAATTGTATACTAATTCTAACTGAATTTCCAGTCGTTTGCAATTCATGAGTGCAGGAATCATTTTCACATAATTTTGATAAACCCAGTTGGAGAAAGTGAACCTTATTATACGCATTGCCTTCTCTGAAGGCTGAATTCTTTATTATATCTAGAAAGAGTGCTCTGCTGAAATTCACATTAATGCTTTCAGCCGCGAAAATTTATAAAAAAATTGAAATGGAAACATGTCAGAAGACTGATATAATATGCAGAGCTGAGAACTATTATTTAGAATCAGAATGGAGAAATATGCATGGCGGAAACGAACATGTCCTTAATGTGGTGCCGTTTATGCAGTACTTGGCAATTCGATAGCCAGCTAAAAGGAAATGGAAGAAAGGAAAGGTAGAAGAAAAATAATTGGAAATTTAGCATAAAAAATAGATAATGATCGTGCAACAGACGTTTACCTATCGTCTGAACAAAGAAATCACGACAGGAATTCATTATGCAAATAACACCAAATCACGTGACTCGTCAACTTGAAAAGCATCACGGTTAATTATCAGCTTCAATTCAAGAAAATAAACTGTTCATCATGTGCGACAGTGTCATTTTATTCCCTTTCCTATGCCTATACCATCCTGTGAGGCGTTTACTTTATTGGCTAGAGACAATATATCTTTCATCTCGAAGTCACATCTTCAATATAGGTCACGGTATACACCAATAGACCGCATCGCATACTCTGCAATTTATGTCCGTTACACGTGGGCCTGGTTGTCTATAATATGCACGAATGCGTGCTAGGTGGCTTTGTGAAGTGTGCTGTGAATCTGGCGCGTGCATGCTGTGAATTTATTATTTTGATGCGCAGTAGTGGCCTTAGGAACGAGTCTCCAGCGTTACTGCATGTGCCACTCCCATGGCAAACGTTCAATCGTAAAAGGGGAATCATTGATGTTCGCCACTCTCCTGATTCTAATGATAGGCCTTTGGAGGTAACTCCTTACAGGAGGAACAGCCGGTGAGTAAGCACTCATATTTCATGTAATTAGAAGAATTAGCGCCATTCTAGCCAAAAACCTACTATGGCTCTATGTAGCATTATAAAAATTGTTTCCCTAAAAAACCATCTCGATTAGCAATATAACTCTCTGTCTTTGCACGTCGATGGCCGAAAATTCGCGTTTTAATTTAATATTCTGTGTCGACTTGTATAAAATCTACGCACGCATCACGCGTAGATCATAAATGAGGTAACTAGACAGCTGTCGTTTCTTGGCAATTATGTAACTGTGTTCATATTCGTAAGAAGTGGTATGTTGCATGTGAGCAATGTTATAGATAGTTTTATGCAGCATATCCTATCATAGTTATATCACGTCTCGCGGCTGTTGAGACCGTCGGAGGTATAAGGCTCCTTTACTATGCCCGTATGGATGGTGATTTTTTTTAAACAGTTAACATTATTCGTGGCACGCCCCCCCCCCCCCCCCCCCCCCCCCCCCCCCCCCCCCCCCCCCCCCCCCCCCCCCCCCCCCCCCCCCCCCCCCCCCCCCCCCCCCCCCCCCCCCCCCCCCCCCCCCCCCCCCCCACCCCCCCCCCCCCCCCCCCCCCTCACAAACTATTGAAAGTCTATTAGTCGCTATTTAATACTTACTATGTATAACTATGTAGTTTATACGATAAATATTGACTTGTAAAACTGATGGATAGGATGGATGGATGGATGGATGGATGGATAGGATGGATGGATGGATGGATGGATGGATGGATGGATGGACGGATGGACGGACGGACGGACGGACGGACGGACGGACGGACGGACGGACGGACGGACGGACGGACGGACGGACGGACGGACGGACGGACGGACGGACGGACGGACGGATGGATGGATGGATGGATGGATGGATGGATGGATGAATGGATGGATAGATGGATGGATAGATGAATGAATGGTAGGGCAGATTGCTGGGTTGGTGGGTGAATGGATTGAAGAATGGAGAGAAGGATAGATAAATGGTTGGATCAATTCATATATGTCTCATAAACAAATTTATTAGCATATTATATCTGGGATAATATTTTGGAATTTAAACAAAAAGCGTGTTTTGTTGAATTCATACATATGAGGATGCAAGCGATCAGCGAGTAATTTTGTGTAAGAGATTTCTATTACAAGATCTCACTGAAACAGTGAAGGGATACGTGAATATAACCTGCGAGACCAATTTCACATCAACGCAAATTTTGATATTGGACGAATGACGGCAGACGAGGATAGAAAGAATGGGAGAGAGGTGGGGAATAAGGGTGAAATACGGGGAGGAAGTTGGCGGGCAAAAAGAGACAAGTGGTGAAAAAGAAAGTGTGAAAAATGGTGATAGGGTAATGAAGACAGGACAGGAACACAAAGTTAAATAGGAAGGAAACGGAAATGGGGTAGGGGGAGAAAGAGAGAAAGGTAGCAGAGAGATGAACAGTGCATGGGATAAAGTTACAGTGAGATAGATATATATATATATATAGATGTATATATAGGTAGCTAGACACAGACAGCTATGGGCTATGCAAAGATACAGATAGTACAGTGCGCGATCCGTGTCTGTCTATCCCGTCACCTAGCCAACAGGGAACCCTGTTTTTTAGGCCTTGGTTTTTAGGTAGCTCTGCCTTTAGCTAGAGTCTCTTTATATTTATATCTATATATTTCCTATATAAATGGCCGGATCTGTCTGTCTGTCTGTCTGCCTGTCTATCTTCTCGAGACCCGTAAGAGGTGACCCCCAACACCATATATATTCTGAATCAGCATGACGCGACGATCATTTTAGGCCAAAAAAATGTGACAAAAAAAGTTGACCAAAAAAATGTGACAAAAAAAACGTAGCGGCCTCTTCTTCCTCGACGCTCCTGGCGGAACAGGCAAGACCTTCGTTACCAACCTTCTTCGGGCCAAGGTCAAGCAGACGAGGAAGATTGCCCTGGTAGTTGCTTCAAGCGGCATTGCTGCCACCCTGCTCGACGGAGGGCGCACTGCTCACTCGGCCTTCAAGCTGCCATTCAACCTGGCAAAGCGGGAAAATCCAACCTGCAACATCAGCCGTAGCTCCACAAAGGCCAAGCTGTTCCAAGAGTGCAAGCTCATCATCTGGGACGAGGCAACCATGAGCCACAAAGGCGCCTTTCAAGCACTCGACAACACCCTACAAGACCTTCGGCACAACACAAACATCATGGGAGGTGTTACTGTCCTGCTCTCAGGCGACTTTCGCCAAACCTTGCCAGTCATCGCCAAAGGCAAATGCAGATGCTGTCAATGCTTGCATCAAGTCGTCGTACCTCTGGAGCGAAGTGAACCGCCACAGCCTGAAAACCAACATGAGGGTGCAGCTCAGCGGCGATAAAAAAGCTGGTCGCTTCTCTCAGCGACTGCTGAAGGTCAGCAATGGCAGACTTGCCACCACAGTTGATGGCCAAGTCAAGCTGCCATTCGGCAAAGCAGCGGCGGACATCACCCAGCTCATGACCAAAGTCTTCCCAAACCTCCACCTCTGCTACCAAGACCAAGACTGGTTGAGCGGGCGAGCCATCCTTGCTCCCAAGAATTTGGCCCTGGATAACATCAACGCCAAGCTGCTGGAGCAACTGCCTGGCGACTCAACGAGATACAAGTCGATGGACACAGTTCCTGATCCTGACCAGGTCGTACACTATCCGACCGAGTTTCTCAACAGCCTGGCGCCCTCAGGTCTGCCACCACACAACTTGGTGCTCAAGGTCGGCGCGCCGCAGTCTGCTAATGCGCAAACCTAGATGCTCCCA